AGAGTCCCAGAGTTCCTGTAGCTTGAACCGCGCATCCTCGACGAACAGATGCAAGTTCTGCCTCTTCAGCTCGTTGAGGCGCACAAGCTCATCCTCGAACTCGTTGATTTGTCGAACGCCACAGCCTCGGTTGCTGTTGAGGAACGCCTTCCTCTCTGCCATATCAACCTCCAACTTTTCCCAGAGGGCCTCGACCGCCATGCGCAGGTCCTTGAGACGCTTCTCACGGTTCTTCTTCTCGTCCGAGAGTTTGTCGCGCTTCGCCTTGAGACGTTCGATATCTTCCTCGTGCAGGCCCAACTGTTCGGGTGACTCGCGGTAGTACTTGACAATAGCACCGTCTGTTTGAGCCTGAGGGGTGCCCAGCTCGGCCCAAAGTTGGATCGTGTGCTCGCAAAGGGCCTTAACCGTCGCGACGCGGCGTGTGTACTCTTCATAGACTCTCGTAAACTCATGATCGAGCTTGTCCACGTAGGATGGTGATAGGTCGAAGTTGGGAGGGACGGATTGGTTCGGGCCCGTGGGCGGCAGGGGAATTTTAACGAAGGTGGGTTCAAGATGTGACGAGTATGATTCGAGTGCTTCGACAAGCTCTGGATGGCTTGTTAGTACACCACCTTATTTGGCATCTTCCGGCTTTATGCCCAACTCACTCTTGACTTGTTCGAAACGCTCCTTGTGCAGTCTACTGACTTGCTTGTGCTTCTCCTTCAGGCCCTGCAAACATCGGGTCAGGGGGTAGGTAATTTGAATATCGTCGCTGCGGTCCCGGCGTGCGCGGTTGTCGTCGAGGGATGCCTCCATCTGCTGTATCGTGGTAATTATGCGCTCGGCTTCATCAATCATTTCCTCCTTTTCGTTTGTGACAAGGTTCACCTGGTCGGTAAGAGCTTTGGAAAGCGCCTCGAAGAGCTATGGGCGATTGTCAGCACGAACTGGAGAAGGGGAGTGAGCTGAGAGAAGCGTACGTCTTCCTCGCGCTTTTCGCGATCATGGTTCGGAACGCCGATCTCATCGAATAAACCGTGCAATTGGCCGATGATGGTATTGACCTGTTGGGACAGGTAACTCGTGTCCATGGTGGATTAAACAGGCCAAACTGAAAGCCAAAAGAAGGTGAGGATAAGAGAAAAGGCGGTATGGTTCGGGGAATTGATTGTGATTAAGGTAAGTGCGGTAAGGCGTGCAGGTCGTGGGGGTAAAAGAGTGGGCGCAGCGCAAAGGCTGAGTGTTGATGCTATTCACGGTGGCGGGGAGGCCAGTGCGGGTGCGGCAAGGCAGTCGATTTGTTTACTTTCTCTGCGGTGCCTGGGATGCGGTTGCGACGGGAACTAGCTAAGTAGGAAGCGAATGGTCACCGAGAGTATTGCGGCGTATAGTGCATCGTCCAGCAGGAAAAAGTCGTCCAAGAGAGAGGAGTAATAGAATGTAGCTGCGTTTGAAATCTGCAGTCTCCTTGGATCTGTGAAGCCGAAGAGATTTGTCTGAGACTGCCCGACCTGTGTTTCTCCCAAGTTGTTGATGGCCGATGGGATCTTTTTTTTCCGGAGGGATGGATGGCGGAGGGCGGAGGTTGGGGAAAGTGGAAAGTGGGAGAAAGAGGATGGGAGGAAACAACCAGACAAGAAGGGGCAAGTCGACAAAGATGCGACGGGAAGGTGCCACTTGATGAATTGAATTCACGGTCAGGAGGGAAGGAAAGACCTGGGATCTCATGGGAAGGAGGTGGCCGGGAATGTCGTGAGAAACGGGTCCTCAGTTTTCCTGTTTGGGTTCGCGTGGTGGGGCACGTATCCACGGCAACGGGGTCGACTCTCAGCAGGCAAGGGTTACAGTGCGTGAGTACCTTTTTTGGTGGTGGGTTTCAGGAAAGAGCTACCCCGCCATTGGCTACCTTCGGTCCATTCACGAATCACGATGCGCTCTTGCTCTATCTGCACTTCAGCTGCCTGCAGCTTCGAGACAGGGGTAGGTGGGCAGAGATACGTACCTGTTGCCGGGGTTCCAATTGCTTTAGTGCCACGCGGGTGGGTCTCTCGCTTGCTGTCAGCTCAGCCCATTAGCCAATCTTAGCTAAGCACGCTTAATCACTTGCACCTCGTCAACCCAACTTGTCCCGATGTCCTGGCAGCTGCCTCAAGTCTTCTATTGAAACGTTGGCCACCTCAACGGCCACTTCATATGTGAACAAGATAATGTTACATACATATCCTTCTCTCAAGACTAGAATGTCCCAAGATCTCAAGCGTATCTGTTGAGTTGTGATAATGATGTTGGTTGGTTGGTCTATCTTACTGCAACTGCAAGCAGCGGACGATCAAACACACGCCGCTCTGCGCAAACAAATCACCCGCAGCTCTAGTCGCGCATCGGCAACCCGCTTTGTTTACTTTGCTGCATCGCATCGCATCGCATCGCCCCCAACGAATTCTCCAAGTCCGCGTCCTTTCTGCAAGTCATCCAGATGGATGCTGGTTGCTGCCCACAACAAAACAACAACCTTTTTTTTTCCCTCTTTTTAAACTAACATCTTAAACTCCTGCTCTTTCGTACGTCGTACGTCTGCCTCGCATCACGCTAAAGTCATGCACACGACAACTTCCTTACACCAACAGCTCCATCACATTATCCACACCTGATTCCTTCATGCACCTCAACCTCGCAGCTTTCCCTCCGACTGGCCTCTCGCTACGAATAGACGTATCCAAGTCCAAAGTCTCCAACAAAAAACTCCGTAGCAGGCCGAACGAAAATCAGGAAAATCGATCTGGCTCATCTCGGCTCTTTCCCATCCCTTGCTCGCCCCTCCCCCCTGCCACGCTGCTTTGCCCCATTTCTGCCGTGGGCATCTTCAGGCGCGTGCTCCAGCGGTGAGATGCAAACGCATCCTCTTCCACCCCCGGTCCGCCCATCGCTTCACCATGGTGACGGCCAATCCAACCTTGCTTTTCCTGGTTGTATCCGCACGAAGTGCGCATCAAATCGCAATCGCGGCGGTACGGACTTTATGCTTTCTTCTTTAATCTGATCTTCCCCTCTTATTCAGGTGATCATCTTCTCTTCCAGCCAAGTCCAGACCTACTCTCAGCCCGAATGGCTTCCAACTTCCTACGGAGTCGACTACAAATACATGGATAGCTGGGAAATACTGTACCCAAGCTCCCATCAGCTTTCCCCTCCTTGTTGCAAAGTCGTAATCGACTGCCCGGGAAACCATGAGTCTTGGGATGACAGTCCCATAATATCAGGCCCATGCTCCCTCTCCCTCTCCCAGCCTCCCCAGATTCGGACGAAAATCTTTGTGACCGACCCGTTCAGAGCCAAGTTTGATCTCCGCAACCATTGGGTTCGCTTCTCGCCGTCGCACTCCCCGGAACTGCACCAAGTATCCGTACTGCCCAAACCTGCTCTGATCCAATCCCAATCCAAGTTGAACCCAATACACACACACACACACGGCACAGGCCGTCCACTAGTAAGCTTCTGGGACCTGACCTGGTTCGGGGCATTTGTTACGCGCGCATTCTCGACCTTCTGCCCCTCCTCTCACCCTTGCTCTCCTGTGGCTGGTGGCTGGTAAATCCAATGGCTAGCCGCTAGCGTTCCTTGCCCTTGTCTTTTCCTCTGTCTCGGCGACGTCATCGTCGTCTTCTCTCAACCCAACTCAAGGCGTGGTTGCCCGGTGGACCTTGATGCGATCGTGATCCCGCTTGACAACCCTGCAGCTCAAACCAACCCGTGGCATCATCGCACTTCGCCATGGCCGAGAGATGGGATAATGTGCATGGCTTTCTGGTATAGCTTATGACCCGCACTCCAAGTGTATGCCTCCAGCCACCTGAGAACAATCAACTTTTGTTGTGTAATTCTCTGTACGTAAGAGCGTGACTTCAAGTTGTTGAGTCTGAACTTCTTGAGGAAATGCGCCTTCCTAAAAACAACTCAGGCGTACGAAGCGACACCCTGACCAAATAAGGTAGTCACCATGAGAGGTATCCTTCGGTACCTTGGGCAAGGCGAAAATAGAGCGCAGCTGATTGACCATCGGGACTATTATACTTTACCAAAGTCGCCGGATAGCTAAACATCGAACAGGCATTTCAAGAATCACATTGCCTTACAATCGTACAACAATGATCAGTAGTCATTCTGTCGAGAATGTCATCCTTTAGTTCAGCCAATACGACAAAGTGCAACGATGACTGGGTAAAGACGTGGGTCTCGTCTGCCAAGCCTAACAAGGAAGGCGGATAGTGCTCCGTAGACTGCCTTCCGCATGTGACATGGGCGACGTTCTTTTCGCCAAGCCCTACGATCCTCTATGAAGACGAGTCGCTTAGGATCCATCCGTCCTCGCCCAAAAGCGACCCATAGAATTGGATTTCAATCGAAATACAGAATCTCATGGTACCGCAGCGACTGACTCACCCAAGTCCGCACATGGAAGCCTTTCAGCTTCAATCAAATCCAAGAAACTTAGTCCATGTTGTACATCTTTTCCACAAGTGCACAAGTGAAAGACTTCAATTGTCTCTGGATACGAAGACAGCCCCGCTGTGGCCGTCAAACGACACGGACAAACGACGAAACTAAGGTGGCAGGCTGAGTAATCCCTCCGGAATATCATGCAATATAGAAGTACTGTCAGAGCTGATTGGCCACTTAGCATCGCGGATAGCCGAAGAGAAAGGCTATCAACTTCTTCAAAACTATATGGCTCCAAGCACGCTGCGTGATCATTCGCTGTAAATAAGACATTTGCCTGTTGAGTGCACAGCTCATGTCTGTCAGAGTCGCATTCATCCACGAAAGTAGACTAGCATTGTTCAATCGCATTGGAGGGTGATGTCTAGTCTTCTAGGCAACCAATTTATTTTCACGTCACAAACTCCGCTGAGTGAATACTTAAGCCTCGAAATCTCCAAATCAGTGTTCAGAATATCATGTCATACCCTTCAAGACTCCAATCAATCTTGATAGTCTCACAGAAGACCAACAAGATGTATCTCAAATCCCTCATCATCGCAGCCCTCGGCCTAGCCCCAACAGCCGTCCAGGCAACCTACCCCTTCTCCAACCCAGGCGACCTCGCCGCCGCCGACAAATTCGACTACATCCGCCAAGAACACAACGGCGTGGTCCAAACCGTCAGCAACGTAGTCTACAAAGGCACCACCGCCCTGAAAATGACACAGACCTACGACCCTTCCTACACGGGGCGCTACCACTCCGAAGTCGACGTCAACGACGGCTACACGCGCGGTCAGGACCGCTTCTACGGCTTCGCCTTCCGCCTTTCGGATTCATGGCAATTTCAGCCGCAGTCGTACAATATCGCGCAGTTCATCGCCAACCGCCCCGGTGCGGGCTGCGGCGGGGATGATTGGATGCCGTCGAGCATGCTCTGGCTCGAGGGCGACCAGTTGACGTCGAGGATCGTGAGCGGGCAGTATCGCCAGCCGGATTGCGGGCGGAGTATTGTAAAGTATGGGAACTTGACGACGGTTGAGCGCGGGGTGTGGCATCGGGTTGTGATTCAGGCTAGCTGGCGGAGTGATGCGACTGGGTTTTATAAGATTTGGTATGATGGGGTTAAGGTGTTGGAAAAGTACAACGTTGCGACGACGGTGAATGATGATAGTACTTTTCAGTTCCGTGTTGGGTTGTATGCGAATAGTTGGTATGATCAGGGCAAGTTGGATGGCGATCAGGGGTTCCGCCAGGTGTGGTTTGACGAGATTGCTGTTGACTCGACTTACAAGGCGGTGGACCCTGATCAGTGAATTCGAGAGTATGGACCTCAGGGGAGCCAGTCGATTGACACTAAAGGAACATTCTTGTGGCTTGGGGCATGGGATAAGGCTACTTGGAGAGTGTGCTCATGTTTTCAGTCAACCAATAAAGTAGGTTGGAAGGGATTAGAATCTAGGTTTGTAATTTCACTCGTCCTATCAATACGACAAGACCAGTCCGATCTCCGGCATAGCCAGGAATCTTGTGTTACAGCTCCGGAAGAGTTTCCTCTAGTGTAAAAGTTACGTCATGCTTCAATAGTATGAAAGAGGTGCAAAGCGCTGCGGGTGGCAATGACTGATTAGGTAGGATTTGAAATGCGGCAACTAGTTTCATCCTCCTGTGCAGTTGCTGCGTTATACGAAAAGTACGAGATGCAATGGTCATCTGCGAATTGCTTTAGTTCTCGTAAGTACCTATATCAAAAACTTGTTCGCTGTGTAAGGTAGTGACTATAGTGTACTTCCCGCTTGATGTGTAACGTCGTTGTCTTATTTACAACAAGGAGTCTCCCTCCTATAATCGCTGTTTTCAATACCGTGTTTTAATAGTGGTAGTCCCTTTATACAAATTGCCTCATCATATAATCTAGGTCGTGATTTCTTGTTAGGCCAGTTGTGTTTATCCCTGACAATACAGCATCCTTGCGGCACCTCACCTCATCAAGACTTCGTGAAGTCCGTTAATAAAACCCGAGATTCCGGGATATTGGATCTGTAGACTTACAGATCATACTTCCCCATGGATCAGCAACTGGTTTTAGTGGGGTTCAATAGACTGCTTGAAGTCATTCGTCACGGAAACATATCGAACCAAGGCATCCTGGGTGGAATGTCTCCGTGAAGTACTTGCCTCAGTTGTTGGTTGTCTCCGACCGGAGACTAAATTTAGACCCCAACGATGGGTCCTTTCGGCCGGGGTTCGTAATTGCGCTGTTTTCGTTTGCCAGTTCAACTAAGGAGCTATCTCGTGTATGATTTGAAATCGTTCTGATCGTCGTTGAAAGTTCGAAGCCGCCATTTCTTGGAATGGGAACCGAGACATAACAACATTATAGACTCGGCAGAGCCGCCAAGAAAGCCTTTCGTATCGCTCTGTATGAATACTATTTGTACAAACAAAGCTATCCGCGTGGAAACAAGATAATCACTTTATGTTGTCGCCATCTGTTGCTAATTCCTATCCAAATCAAAAGCTTCTCATATCGCCACTACATTATCCAGCATCAACTCTCAAGATGAACACAAGCAACGAACCCGGAACAGAAACAACCAAATTGCCCCTGCCAAACCAAGAACCTCCCCGAGTTTCAATAGCCCCCAGAATCGCCCCAGATGGCGGCTATGGCTGGATCGTCACGACCTCCATCGCAATCATTTACGCGCACTCATGGGGCATTAGTGCAGCGTATTCCGTCTTCCTCGCCCACTACATCAGATCCGACACATTCCCCGGCACAAGTGCGCTTGTCTACGCTGCGATCGGCTCCCTCAGCATAGGCATCACCCTCGTCATATCACCACCGGCCACGATCATGGCGCGCGAGTTAGGGACCAGGCCCACGATGCTCCTCGGGGCAGTCTTACAGTCTGCTAGTCTCGTATGCGCGAGCTTTTCGACTAGAGTATGGCACCTCTCTCTCTCACAAGGCTTGCTCTTCGGCGTCGGCATGGGACTGCTGTTCTTGCCTTCATACGGCATCGTAGCTCAATGGTTCACCACCCGGCGCGCTCTAGCCAACGGCGTCGCGATTGCAGGCGCAGGACTGGGCGGCTTGACGTACTCGCTTGCCGTGGGCGCCATGATGGACAGTATGGGACTACCCTGGGCCTATCGCGTTCTCGCCATCGTCTCCGGCATAGCGAATGTCGTTTCGATTCTTCTTATCCGGACGCGCTATGGAGAGAATAGAGCCAAACGGTTGGCTCTGGATGTCTCTCTGTTCAAGAGGGTGGATTATCTCCTGATTCTGGGCTTTGGCGCGTTCAGCATGCTTGGATACTTCATTCTCATCTTCGCACTGGCAAACTACGCAAACTTCATCGGCTTGGACCCCTCTCAGGCTTCCCAAGTCTCGGCGGTCTTCATGCTCGGTCAGGCGGTGGGACGCCCCGCCATCGGATGGCTGAGCGATCGGTTCGGGCGTATCAACGTCACATTACTGATGACTTTGGTGACAGGGATACTTTCCCTTGTTTTCTGGGTCAACGCAAAGTCGTTTGAGGCGTTGATCACGTTTGCTTTTGTCGTAGGCCTTCCCGCCGGGGTTTTCTGGGTTAATGCGGCGCCTGTGATTGCTGAGGTTCTGGGTACGGAGAATCTGGCGTCCGGTCTGAGCCTGTTGTGGTTGGTGATGGTTGTTCCTTCGACGGTGAGTGTGCCTGTCGCGCTGGCGATATACATGAGGACGGGAACGTATCTTGGGGCTCAGTTGTTCACGGGATTCACATTTCTTGCTGCTGCGGCTTGCGTTGTTGTTTTACGCCAATATCAGATCAGAATTCAAAGGAAGGCTTTAGGATCCAATCCCGATTCTTCGGAAGAGGATGGAACAGAAACTCCAAGCTTTAGGAGGAGCAAGGGTCTAAGGGGAGTATCTACTTGTTGGAAGGTGGTGTGATGGCCGTATAATCTTCAAAAGGATATTGTTTCAGTGGATTTCAGAGAAACTTCATTTATGTACGATGGACATTGCACTTATTTGAGATTGGGCTGACCAAAGAGATGTCAAGTCCTATCTGACATGGACTATTCATTCGCTGGATCATCCAAGCACAAAATTCAGAACAATTATGATTATTATTGGGAATGCCATCGAAGGCATGTTTAAGTCTATGACCACACTCTTATCCAAGTCTTCGTTTTATGCAATTTTACCCCGCCGAGCCATCGGCTCAAACCAATGCGAATGAAAGAAACCAAACACCTGACCTCTCCTCTAATAGCGCCGGAAGAAACAACTCTAAGTAGAAGATAAGAAGCCACAGAGAAAATTACGGGCACCACATTTCAACTTTGACGCCACGAAGCTCGTCCATGATACCAAAGTCCAAACCATGTTGACGGAAAGCGACGATAATCATGTCGAACGTCTCAAGCGTCTCCTTGTTCCACTTCTCATCAGCCAAGCGAGGCGCAACAGGCACGGCGCTCTGCTTGACGAGGGGATCCGCGTACATGACATCGACCTCGCCGGAACGGACAAAGGCCTTGACCAGGTCAACACCTGGTGAGTTACTCAGGACAGACTGGCCGGCCTTGAAGCCCACACCGACGACGAGAACGCGAGGCCGTACCAGAGCTGAAGCAGCTCCAGCTTTGGCATCTCTCGTCAACGAATCGATAGCGCGGCGGGCAATAGCGGCGGGTCGCGCATTCATCTTCTCGGCGGCGGCTTCCAACAAGGGGAAAGCGCTGTTGGAGAGGAGGTAGTACGGGTTGACGGGGATGCAGTGGCCGCCGACGCCGAGGGAAGGGGTGTAGGGCATGTAGCCAAAGGGCTTGGAGGAGGCGGCAGCGGCAACCTCGTAGGGGTCGATGCCGTGGGGGATGCAGGCGTCTGCCATTTCGTTAGCGAAGGCGATGCACATCATGCGCTGGCAGTTTTCGTAGAGCTTCATCATCTCGGCGACCTCTGTGCGGCTAACGGGCACGAGGCGGTCAAAGACTTGGTTGTAAAGGCGCATCACGGAGGCCAACGACCCGGGGATCTCGTCGTCGAGACCTGAGACGATCTTGGGGATCGCGTGGCAGGGGGGCTCGATGCGTCCTGGGTCGACGCGCTCTGGAGACATGCCTGCGTAGAAGCCGTGGGCGGTGGCGACGGGGCCGAGGAGGCTGCGGGTCATGCCCACTGCGACGGAGCTCTCTATCACGACGGTGGAGCCCGGGCGCGCGTGCTGGGCGACTGTGGCGATAGCGGATTGGAGGTAGGAGGTGTCGATGGACTTGTCCGCCTTGAGGAGAGTAGGGACGGAGATGAGGAAGTGGGTGGCCTCGTGCAGGTCTGTCTTGGAGGTTGTAAAGCGGATGCGTTCGCTTGGGAGCTCCTCACGGATCTCGCTGATTCTCTTCTCTGACACATCGAAGCCGAGGACGTTGTAGTGGGCAGAGAACGACTCAACGAGGTGAGTGCCGACGTAGCCGACGCCGATGACGGCCACGAGGGGCTGGTCATTGGGGTCGACGACGGGAGAAAGGTCGCGGACGCGGTCGTTGTGAGAGAAAGGGTGCTCCTTGTACTCTGGTGGCGGCGTGACAGGTGTGAGGGGAAGGTCAAAGTTGGCCTTGAAGATATCGAAGCCGGGGAGGTTGAGGCCCAATGCTTCAGGAGGAGGTGTAGGAGGTGCCGGCACGGAAAGGCTGCGGCTGTGGAAGGATGGCTTATCGATGGTGACCCTCATTTTGAATGATAGTTATGCAAATGATGAGAAGGAAGTGAAGTCGAAGTGATGTAGACAGATGAGGAAGAAATATCACAACTAGACAGTTCTCTATCGATCTGGACTTCTGAAGATGATGTTCTTCTATGATCTTGTGTGAGTGGATGAGGAATAGGAATGTAGATGCGGACCTGAAGGTGGGATTATATGGAAATCTTTGAGGCTGGAAAAGGGATTGAAATCGGATGCAAAATGAAGTTGCGTAAAGATCCCCATCAAAGTTTTCCCAGCTCTGCTGATTCCTGCCAAGATGTGCCGCGAATTTCCTCTTCCACGCAATCTGTTGAATGCGCGATGAACGTAACGAATAGATCCAAACGAGTACGGTGGAATAGTCAAGCTCTCGCCATTCCCAATACGGAATACCAGACCGAGAAAACGCCATGAAGTTGAAAACTTCTGCATCGTGAAATTAGGGGGCAAAAGAAAATAACGCTGTTCAGCCTCATGGCCCAGTTCCGGTGGTGGATCTTGGCAGAAGCGTACGCACATTGTTGTAGTAGCGCACCGCCAAAAGATGAGAGATTTCGGAATTGACAATGCTGATT